TATGCCTGGTAACCGCCAGCGAGGCCTAAGCATCTTGGTTTAGGTATTTTGTGGGGGGGGGGGGGCCTTGAGTTCCCTTTTGTTCGATTCTTTTCTAAAGCGGCGGGGGGGGTGGGGCGGTAATTTCTCAAATAGTGTTTCTTGAGTTGGTTTTATAGAAACTAGTAACACCCAGAAAGCTTACAGAAAGCTTGCCAAAAAGGGCAACTGGCTGTTTTAAAAGAACCTTCAAGCAACCGCCGACAGCTATTTGGGGGAACCGATCCTTTTTGTGTTTTTGTTTGACTGCACCACCCCGCTTTTTCGGCTGTAGCGCACACATTCATTTACTATGTACGTGCGGTGTCTTCTTTGCAACACCTGCCCTGTTGGCCGGTTGGCTGGCTCTCTGGTTGCGACTCATTGCTGTAGCTTCACCCAAGGACATCGCAACGAAAGCTTTCTGAGGCGCTCTTCGTTCTTGTGCGCATTCTGGGGGGCCTCCCCTCGAAGAATACGGGCTGGGTTCCGCCGCCTTCCGGGCGCGCTGGGCAGAGAAGCCAGCCTTCGCTGGAGTGGCTTTGCGCTAGCTCTTGTCCTATTGCCTCGCCACGCCGCTGAGCAAGAGCTCATTGATGCGCAACGCCTGCGCATGGTTCCCATGCAAAGCCACCTCATGGAGCAGCGTGCCGCCCGCGGAGGTCGTCTGCTTGGGGTTGCACCCGTGCTTGCTGAATGAGGTCCTGCACGACCTCGGCTGTTTGGCTTTCGACTTGCAAGCAGAACAGCGTTCAGAAGCTCTTGCGCCGCTTGCGCAAGAACAAGGGGCCCTGCACCCCAAATCTTGGGCTGAATCCGTTTTGTGATACCAAACCTGGGCCATACTGATCCGAACCCCAGCATGCAATTGGTTCTGGTTGAAAGGACATAATGCAAAAGAACCAAAAGGCACAAGGCAACAAGTTACAAACTGATACGCCTGTGGTCTGCCAATGAAACGGGATTCTCCAACCTGATTTCCAACAATCCGCCAAAGCAAGGGGGTTCAGCTCGCTTCCTATAGAATTTCCTGTAGGTTTCTTGGGGGGACCCAGCTTCCCTTTCACCCGGAACGAGCGAGAAAAAAACACGGATCTCTTGAAGGTGCAATGACAAAAAAACTTCCAAAGGCAGCCGTAAAAAACATAAGGACAAGACAGAGGTAAGTACGCAAGGACAAGATACAGGCACCCAGTCAACACTGGTCAGTAGATGACCTCCTTGGAGAACGTGTTGCCACTTATCTGGCAACAGTTGGGAGTTGGGCGGAAAGCCTCCCAACATGTTCAGGAAGTGTCCCAGTCCGGTTTAATCCCAAGCCAACTTTCCGGCATTCTAAAGAATGTTTTGGTGAACTGTGGATTCCGCCCTGAGTGCCAAAAGACTAGTGGAATCCACAGGTTCGGCATACTGCCCCCAGATGTCCAGGTCGAAGGTCGAACCTCCGGAGTTCTGAAAGAAGGGCTCTGGCAACCTGGTAGCTCCCGAGAATCCCTCAGTATCCCCCCATGAAACCGGTGAAAAGTCTCGAGGGTAAAGGTGTGAACCGAGTTGGACCTTTGACGCCAGGGTGAAGGCAAATGGCACTGTCCGCCAGTAAAGAGGATGGAAAAACCCAAATGGGGAGCTTGGCACATCTACTCGCCCAACTGTACCTGACCATCGTATATGGTCAGTCTACTTGCTTCAATTGCAAGCCCTTGATACCATCATAAGGACATAGAAATCGAATATCAGAGTGCCTTGCACATCTGGCAGGCATTGAAACTAAGACAGCCGCTTGGTCTCCATGTAGCCCTGGTCCGAAAGGTCACGCAGGGTAGATGAGGTGTCCTTGTCCGGTCAGGCCAAAAACCCCAAAGGAGGAAAAGCCGTCCCGTTCTGTCATGTCTCTCCTGCTTCACGTTTCATGGCTCGGGTCTCTAGTTACCTGCGACACCCCCATGGCCTTCATGGAATTTCAACGCTCTTAGCTCTTCGTCCTCCCGCCTTGCACCATGCCCAGTGTCACCTGGCAAGATCAACCCAGCTGCAAATGAGAAGATGAGAAGGCGAAACACCCAACAGGGCGAGCCTGCATACCGGGTGTGACAACCAGAGATTCCAGTCGAGGCCTGCTTTGACAAGAAACCAAGAAACGCAAGGGGTTGTTTTAACAAAAGAAAGAAAAGCACGCCTCGCAAGAGGTTTGGGTTGAGGCAACCCTCCATACAGGGCCATACATCTACACTTAGCGGCGGGGGCGGTTTTCATGGATCTCATTTGCAGCGTCCGATTCAAGCGCACTCCCGCCTTCTCTCGAGCAGCCCTTCCCTGGTGATCACCTACCTGGAAGGGATTGACCTCACCCCACACGCCGGGTTAGCTTATTGTTCGGGGTCCCCATGCGTTCTCAAAAAATCAAAGCTCGCTTTCAAGCTGAGAAGGCAAGAACTTGCAAGGGCAACAATCATGGCTTCTGCGAATTGGCAGGGGTAGGGCGATCCTGCTGAGGCTTTCTGGCGAAGGCCCTGAAGGCCCTGAAGGCCCTGAAGGCCCTGAAGGCACACGCCCCACCTCCAAACCCTTGCGCGGGGCCCAAAGAGCAACTTTACCAGGGTGTTTGTAGATGCCCCTCGGTTTCGGGAACTGGTGTGACCTCCGGGTGTTCAGCCTTGCGCTCGGGTGATTCGGCGCCCGTCGCCAGGTGGCGTCCACATGTTTGAAGACAAATGAAAGTCCCAGAGCTGTAAGCGGATGGCCGTGGGGAGCTGCACGTGACATAATGTCCTTGGTAACCTAGCCGATTCCCCCTTTCACTGGCTCGGGGGTTCTATAATTTCCACCGTCAATATTCCCTCCAGATGGGGGTTTCCCGACAAGATGACATCATGTTCAAGAATATCGTGCGAAACCGGAAGCTTCACCAGCCGTACCAGGCAAAAGAAATGGTCAGTGGGTCAACGCCTGGACCATGTAAAGCGAAAGGGCGGATGTCCGTAGCCACTTCTCCCTACCCTCCAATCCCCCGCCAATATTAACGATGTCCCCCGTTGATATTGGTTTTGGCGAGTACCCCCCCCCCCTCCTAGCGGCAATTTAGGAAACCGAGAATGATGACAGTGAAAAATGACACAAGCTTGCTTTAGCATGCATGCTAATTGCCGTGCGAGGGCCATCTGAATCAAAGATCGGCTGCAAGCACATCCATGCCTTCTGGCATTTCAACCTGCCATTGCCTTATTCTTCATAGTCAGGGAACTCCGCCTGGCATTCCAGGAATGCACATTCTTCCAAGGTCTCTGACACCCGCATGAGTGGCGATATTCACTTAGGACTTGGGACGAAGATCATGCTGACAAGCAATTGCCCTCAACACCAGCCACTTGAACACTGCATGGCGCACTCATCGATGTATTGATGTCCTCTTCGAAAGGACCTTCGAAGGTGACATCATGCCGCGAAGAAGGCCGCTCTCTCAATTGGCGTGGGTGGCGTCCTCAAACTGATCTGCCAATTGGCGGTTTACGGGGGGGGTGGCCCCGAAGCATTGAGAACCCTCAAAATGCAACCGCTTGCAGGAAGCCAGACCCAGCACAATGCCTGGGTGATAAAATATGCTCGTTTAGGAGCACCATAGCCTCGAGCCGCCAAAAAGAAGGAACACGCCCTCCCATTCCACAGGAAGCCAAGCATTTTGCTTTGCAAAAGCACCAAGGCTTCCTGAACATACTGCAGCAATCCATCCTGGATTTCTTTCGTTTCAAACGGCCCTCAAGCCACGCCTCGCCGCCACCCTTCAACACGTAGGTGCCAAACATTGATTCCCCTTTCTTTCCAAACCATTGTTTCTTTCCGAAAACGGTGGCTTCTCTCAGGTTTTTGACCATTAGCACAAGGGCCCCTGACCAAAATGAACCGGTGAAATCCCCCGAAGTCGCCTCAAAACAAGTGATCCTTTGCCCCCACCAGCACTAACTCTATCCCTAACCTCCGAAGAAGCTCGGAACCCGGAGCCGTGCATTTTACACATCTTTAGGTGGCTCTCACAGGCGAAGGCCGGGATCCCGGCATAGCCGCGAGCTGCTGTCATGGCTCCCTTTTGCAAGCCTCGAACAAAAACATACTCGTTTTACTCCCCAGAAAAGGGGTACTCCCCCAGATCCCCAAAAAATACGACAAAATACGGAACCCCGAAAGAATGTGGCTTTCCTGTTCAAAGGAAGCCCAACATCCTCCCATACGACCCGCCTCGTTCTCGCAGTAACGAGGGTCAATCTCGTCGAGCGGCCCTTGCAGCGAGGGCCTGCCCCCGTGTGTGGGCGCGAGCTGCGGTCAACTTGGGAAGCAGCGTGAAACCAACGTAAAACGAAACAAACTATAAAGCAGAGCATCAAGGAAAATAACATGCAAGAAAATCATATGGAAGGAAGCCAACACATCAAAAGAAATATACATGAAAACCACATAGTCGGAAGAGGTGTCTACTTCGAAGAAACATGGCCTCCTTGTTGCTGACCCAATTGCCGGCTGTCTTTCACAGGTTTCTTTGGCCACGCTATAAGAGAGGCAGGCCCTTCCCAAGGAGACATCTCCACAGGTTGTTGCGGGGTTCGAATTGCTCTCCCCCTCGAGCAGGGTTTTTTCCCTTGAAGCGTCGGCCGGCAGTGGACGGTATGTTTGATCATGGCCTGAAGGTTCGGGTAGTCGGTCTGATCCTCACATGGGATAAGGGAAACCTGCACAGCAAACATCTCAGGGAAAAAGGCCGTGCTCCCATGCTGGATATATTCATTCCTCAACTATGCAACACACCACAATCTTGCGAATGATGCCTCTTGCAGCTTGCCACACAGCCAGACACTTAGAGGCCGACCCGATCTAACACCACCTGGCCCAGGGCACGCAAGCACACATCTACCAACGTCCGATGGAAGTTGCCACACCCACAGCTCGCCAGAGCACGTGGCGCCTGGAGACCTACACCAAATCTTTGCATGCCTTCATCTCATCGGAGGTTTCACACACCTGACGCCGGAGGCGAAGAAAGGAGCAACCCCTTCTCAAAAAGGTTAAACACCTGCGCCAAATCTTTGTGTTTGGAGAAGCCTTCGATGACCTGTGCAGCAAGTCGAATACACACAGCGCTCAGACAGACCTATGTGTCAAGGGTAAGGGACCCTTGCAAACTTTCGAGAGGGTTTTTCCCAGAAAGGGTGTCTGATCCTTGTAACACACACATACACACATACACATGCACAACCACTTGCTTGCACGCGCACACACACACACGATGAACAATGCAAGCATGCTGAAGCAGCCTCTTCCAATCTTCCAAGTGGTGCATCGAACTCCTGGCCATGGGTGCTGGAAGTGAACCAAACTTCAAACCCATCAAGACTCACAAGGCGACGGCAAAGATAGCGTGTTGATTTGGCTTAACGTCAGGAACTTTCAAGGATGAAATGGGAACCACAAAGGAGCTAACCACCTAAGGAAGGGGTGGGTCCGAGCCTTGAGGAAGCCTAGATTGTCCCCTTCCTGGACGCCCACCCCCCGCAACGAGGGCCCACCATCAACGGCACAACATGGGCATGTCTCGAAATGGGGCAACCGACTCAAAACAAGGTTTTCCTTTTTCAAGATCTATGTGCAGTTTCGCGCGCGGTGCAAAACCGGCACACGCAAAAGGAAGAGCATGACAGCATCCACCGTCAAGAGCTCTTGACATACCTCCGGAGCTGTGTACCCTGAAGTTCATGGGAGATCATGGGAAGCCATGCGCCCTGGCTTTTGGCTTCATTCTACCAGCTGGCGGTATCGGGGTATGCCTTTGTGCGGGCTACGTGACTCAAGTCGAAACATGGTTGCGTGAAAGCTACAACCCAAACCCTAACTCAATTGGTTGGTGTCCTTGTGGTTTCCTTCAAAACCGTCCAGAAAATTTGGTGTTGTGGCACATTCCCAGATAGCTGTGGTGTGCCATCTGGTTCAAACAGCAAGTAAGACACAGCACAGATTGTATCAGCGCTGTCTCAATTGCAAAATGTTCAAAACCAACGACCTGCTCACAAGTCATTTGTTGACGATTGGTGCGATCTGATCTTGGCATCCAAGATGCACTCAAACATCAGGACAATTCCTGGCCTGCGCAGCTTGACAGTCGACACTGCCTTCGCTCGCTGGCAGTCGAAGGGTCCGCATTTGTGCCCAAACACTGCACACGCCACGCAAACTCCCAAAAATGAAGAGAGGCGCCACCCTCAATGAAGCTTGTTTGGGTATTATGGAGGCTAGGGTGTTCCGATGTTGCGGTTTCGGCTTGGCTTGTGTTTGTGTGATCTTCAGGTTCCTTGACACCTAACATGCTTTGAGTTCAAGTGTGTTGGTCTGCACTGTAGGAACAGTTGTGCTGTTTTTGGCGCGGAAACACGATTTTGAGGCTGTTGCCAACCCAAGCCAAAACGAGTCCGGGATGGGTTCTTCAGTGAATACGTTTCAGGACATGCGGTACAGGTGGTTTCTGCTTGGTTTCCTTTTAAGACCCTCCAAAAACAGGGTTCAATCCATCGGACAAACCAAGGGGCGCAATGGAATTTGCGCAGCTGCTCCCAGTCCGACCTAAAAGGGAACGTAGGGAGCCCTGCCCATGCTGCATCTGCAAAAGCTGTTCGCCAGCCTCGAAGTGGGCGCCCAAGGGAAAAGACTCCCGGGGATGCGTCAGACTCAGCATGGCTGGCTCGGCAAAGGACATCTGCAGACGGCGTCAGCCGTCTCTCAAGCTGAAGCTGCATTTGGGGTTGTCTGCAAATAGGGCATTTCCAAATTAGGCGTGTTCCCTCTAGACTACCTTTGAAACACGCCTAGGAATTCAGGAGCATTTTCATGGGCCAAAAGCAAAGCAGGCGCTGCTGAGAAACAAACCAAAGAGGTACCCACCAAAATGGATCCACCCATTTTCAGATAGGCCCTCAATGCTTGGAGCTCTGCTCTGAAAGGTTTGGAGCATTTTGGGGCCGTTCAGGTATGTTTTCAGCTAGCTGGGGGTGCTGTGTAGACATCATTTACATCAGAATTTACAGGCCGCCAACCAATAGTTAAGGACAACCAGGAAAAGCCAGAGCCATAAAACATGTTTTGTACATGTTGTCTCGCGCTTTCAAGTACTTTCGTTCAAGGAGCTGAGCTGCATGCAAACGCTCGAAGTTCGTCGCCAGGCCACCCTTGGTAGGAGCCCAAACAAATACCAGCACTTGCCCGAACTGGTGCCATCTGCTTTCACTCAACTGTCTAAGTATAAAGTGGATGGTTGAAGATTGGGGTACCTACCTGCAACCCGATGCCGAAGTGAGTCCGAAACGCAAAGAGGTCGGTCTCCAAATACGGGAAAAGGTCAAAATGGGTGGTGTGTTGAATTCTCTTCGCCTTTTCCCCTTTTCCCTGCACACACCACACCAAGCTAACGGATGTCGTTTTCCGTTCCTTGTTGAGTCCTTTCGGGTTCCCTCTGCGACGTTTGGGAGCAAGGAAGCCAAGAGGAAACCCAGCAACCCCCAACTCTCTCAGGCGGGTCCCCGTGCCGAAATGGGGAAGAGGAAGTTCATGTCCCGGCCCTTTGGATCCTCGCGGGAAAACAAAAACAGCCGCGCCGCGTGGGTTTCCCGAATGGGATCAGCCATATGAGCGCCTGTGTGTGTGTGTCAAAACTGAGAACCTCGTTTGGGGCCAGCTCAAAAGGAAACCAGCATGAAACTAACCACTCAGAGGGATCCCTGATGATTGTTCGCTTATCACGACATGCTGCCAAGCTTGACAATTGCCCACTCAGGTTGACACAGCCTACATACTGCGTGGGCTGCAACCATTTCTGTGACACCAAGTGGCCGTCCCACGTCTACTTTGTCATCTTTAAGGGGGGTTCCCTTGGTATTGCGCAAACTGGCCCTAAAGCCCAGCTGCCCACAACCGTGAGCGAGTGCAACCGCACCGTGATGGAGCTCAAGTCAAAGGTTGTTGGCATCTCGCGTTGGCTGTGTCTTCTGCCAATAGGATCCGACCGGCAACCTTTGACAAATTCACCGCCCGTCATGCAATTGTCCCCAGCACACAAGTGGTCGGATGGAGTGATGAGTTCCCGAAAAAAGATGGGGGGTTTAGCTAGGCCCATCAATCGAGATGTTTACTTGAGGCCAAGATAGGCCAAGTTTGGTGCTACCTTGGGGTAGTCAGACTCGACCCGTTTCCAGCCTTTGGACCCCTTCGACCCCTTGGACCCCGGCAAAGAGCTCCATGCCGTGGAGGGCGGGTTCGTAAGCGAGTCCAGCCCCAGGGACGCCCAATCGAGTCACGCAACCGTCGCTCCGACGGTAAATCAGGAACCCGAAGGGAAACCGCAAGGAAAACCCAACCAGGGCCCTGGATGGGTTCGATTTTCGGGGGAAAAAAAGGCGCCTGGATGGGTTCGATGGGTTCGATGTTGGGCTTAGCATCGAAAGAGAGAGATAGTCCAGAATCCCCCAAAAAGAAAATGCGCCTTGGACACGGAGACCGCCTTCCGGTTTTTGAGGGTAAGTTGGGAGGCAACTCAGACATGTGACATGTGCAAAACATAGTTCCCGGTTGGCAAAGTGTTTTTCCCGGTTGCCCTCTCAAAGTCTGGTGGCCCGTGCGAGACAACCTTAATGCGCGCTGAGTCCCTCAACGCAGTGCTGCGCGGGGGATAGAGCTGGCCCCGTTTTCTGCAAAAAGCTGCGAGCTTTTTCTCGCTCAACTCAACGCATGCAGTTCCAAGACACAGCAAAGCTCAGTTCCTTCTAAACTAGCTTTGCCAACAAGGAAAGTGGCAAGGACCGATGAATCAACCCTGGGAAGTTGTTGCTTCTGATATCTTCTGATTTTCATCCCGGAGCTAGAAACAAGGCCAGCACTGGGTTCCAACCATCTGTCATTTATCGGATTTATCGTTTGCTCAGGTCTCCAACAATCAAAATAGTTGTGGTCAACCATGCGACCCGAATGCTGAAGCCATCTCCAAACATAAAGTGAAGAAACTTCAACTGGCTCGTCCTAGAAAGAACCACAAGAAACCTTCAGACTTGCCAAACTTGTGGTTCTTGTCGAAAAGAAGAAACCTTCAAAGTCAGCGAAGAGACTTCAACTGGCTCGAAAAGAAACCTAACTTGCCAAAGTCTGTTTGATTTTTGTTTTCAGGCCAAGAAGCCCTGCACGGCAAAGGAACTGATGGGATCCGCTTAGAGGAAATCCTTGACCCATGTCCCCGTCCGGCCGCCCGCACCGTGGCTTCGGCGTCAGCGTGCCACGCCCTACAATCTAGAACGTAGTCACATTGTAGTCTACTCCCGGTGGCAGCTCGGAAAAGAATTCAGAATGCCAGCAACAAAGAAGAGTTGCTCTGTCAAACCCGGAAAGCATGCCAATCCCCGAGATCCATCCCACATTGACGCCCAACCCTCTCCCAAGCGCAACGCTGAATGCCAATGGCTCCGCGACAGTGTCCCCCCTCCAACCTTGTTGCAAAGCTTCAGAACATCGCAAGAAACGTCCTGATTGTATCAGGGGATCGTTCTGAAGCCTGTGAAGCAAGGGCCCATCTTTGTCACAATATTCCAAGAGTTTTACCTCAACTGCTGTCTGCATTTCAGCCCAAAACACTCCAAACCCTGAAATTGAACAGACAAACAAGGGGCTACGGGCAACCAGCTCAAAAGCAGAATGGTGGGCAATAGGATTAATTCTTGTGCAGCACTGGTCACAGCATTTGGGTGCTTTTGATTGAGGGACCCCCAAAATGGTGGTTTTCCTTTTGGTGTCCCTTTAAATCCACCCAGAAGGGACACCCTCAGGAGCTCGCTCCACAAGACTGAGCTTGACACATTGGGCCTTGACCGCCCGCACACAGCTTGCAAAGACTTGGGTGCATTGACGGATTTGAGCTCGTGAGCCCCTTCGCATTTCTCCACGATTTCGCCAGGAGTGTAGGAAGCGTTGCTTCCGCATGCAAGACGCTGTTGCCAGCCTTTGGCTATGGAGAAAAGAGGTGCACTATGAACTCGAAAGAACATAGCAGCTGTGTGAAGCCTGCTTGAGCTGGTAACAACGATCCAGGGCCGACACCCCGCCTTCAGACGTCTGAAGGCCTTTGCAATACCCGTGCGCTAGTGGGTGGCCGACTGGGCGGACGTGCAGCGTCCAAGGTCTGAAGACAAATTTGTAGCGCAAGCAAACTCGACCTAAATCTGCATGTTGGATTGGATTTCTCAGGTATCAAATTTGCCAACGCACTTCCCCCTTCCATAACTTGAGCATTGGCAACTGCCTTGAATCCATTAAGGCTTGTACTTTTTGTAGAAACCATGGCGGCACATGAATCATCTGCCCGAAAGTTGTCCAAGTTGCACTCGGATGACCGCTGCATTTCCAAAATCAATCCTGCACAATTGCTTCATTCTCCCTGTTCTCCCCTGCCCCTCCCCTACTGGCTGGTAATATGCGACTCTCCCTCTTTCTGTCTTTCTTTCTTTTTCTCGCTCTCTCTCTCTCTCGCTGCCGTTTTGTCCACTTGCCTCGGCAAGGCAACAAAGAAAGGCGCCCACTGATATTCAGGGGCACCCAAATCATACAAGGACTGCCCAGACAAACAACAAGTTGGAGCCGCAAGGATCCAGGAAATGTGCGTGCAGCGGGCTTGCAGACTTGTTGGAAAAGCTGGCCAAAACATGTGCTAAGTTCGTTCGAGACAAATACGGTTCACACGTCGATTTAGTCAATGCTCCGGCAAAAAAGCCAGAACATACCGTACCATGACAGCGCTCTCAAAGTGAGTCTGGATGGAGTTGTCCAAGCTTGCGAGACACCACTTGTGTTTTGTTCCTAGCAACGCGTTAGATTTCGTAGCCAGGACCGCAAACACTTTCCCGAAGCCACCCTCGTCAATCTTGAACACCATCTCACACTGTTCCCAGCATGTTACAACTTGGGCCTGCTGCTTTTTCTCCGAGCGTGTCATGATGCTGCCAGGCGCCGAAGCGGCTTTGTATTTTGAAGCAAAAGATTCCCCACTTCGTGCCCCTTCTCGGGTCAGAAACCAAGGCATGTGCCAGCCGCGCGATATGTGTGTGTGTGTGTCTGTATGCGGAGCATGAAATTGCATTGGGACCTGCCTCAAACGCATCCCTTGACTGGTTGCATGGCTGAGAGTCTTTGAGCATCTGGGCTCATCTCTTCCAACCCCTCGGCTGAGCCAGTGGTCCGCAAAATGGACGCACAGCCCCTTTGAGATGAAGAACATTGACAACGTCCACACAATCGCCTTCCAAGCAGCAAGAAAAAAGCACACGAGCAGAGACCTGCAATGAGTGGTTCTCTGGACGCTCTCTCGTCAGAAAATAAAAACAACCTAAGCGTTGCATACCAAGCAAGCCATCAGGGGCTGAGCTGTAGCACGATCTGCCCATGCAGTTCAGATTAAGTTTAAGAACTTCCACTCCAAACAATTCTTGCGCAACATGCCTTCGGGATGTTTCAACTGACAGCAACACCCAGGCGCAGGCCAGATTTCATGCATCTGGGATCATTGTCTCCGCAAAGATCTGGAAACTCCGAATTATCGTTCCTCTAAACATGCAGCGGTTGCAAAACATCAAAATATCCACGCTGCGTGTATCAAAGGTGCAGCACGTCACAGAATTCCCTGCTGCCAAGCTCAAGCCGTCCTGGCAAGATGTGGTGACTTCCCCAGGCCATCCCTCCTGCCACTTGGGTGCCAACTGCCGCCAGTGAAGCGCAGACTGACCCAAAACAAGCGCACGCCGGGCGGGGCGCACAGGCAAATACCACAAATGCGGAATTCGTTCCACTCAACCAATGGCCAAGTCACTGTCCACCGCCCCAAAAGAATCGCACATACTCCGCCAGGTGTCGAATCGCGTGTGCACGCTTCATCTTCCAAAAGGCACTGGCTTGAGACGCATGCTCACGAACAACGGCATGCAACACCTGCATGGCCCGAAAACACCGGAGAGGCTGGCAGCAGCTCACATTTCTCATTTGTCAGACTATGCCAAAGGGCAAGCTTCTAAGCAGGGCAGCGTTCTTCTATTGACTTCGGACGGACGCTACAAGTCGCCAACACGGCCAGTTGAGTTTTGAAACTCACTATTCTCCTCTCAAAACGCTTGGTTGCTGTTGACCCCTCTGCATTTTTTGTGGGTTTAGTGGAAAACCCCTTGAAATCCCAAAAAGTTAAAGCCGAAAGATCCAACCCAATGGCAGTCAAGAACGAGGGTCGGAACCTCACGCTTCGATTGGCAATAGGGGAGACTTGGAGGCTGCTCATAAATCGCCTGTATGTGCGCCCTAGCATGGCAATATGCGCTGGTTCTATTCCATATGTAAGAATCAAACGATCCGAGCTGATCTAAGCACTTGCAAGTTGTGAAGCAAGCCTTCCATTTCAGGGATACGCCTCATACGCCGCTCCTGTTGGCAACGCCAGCGATTTGGGCGATATTCTTGGCGAGCGGTTGGGCGTGGGCCGCTGGCCCAATGGATCTCACTCCCTGAAAACCCCCACTTGGGGAAGAGTACTTAAACACATCAAAAAAGAATCCAGCGCAGCAAGCACGTGGTTTGCAGCAAAGGATCTTCGCACGTGTTTGCCCTCAGGCGTGCTGAAAGAACTGTTTTCATGGTCAGTTGCCCATGGCGAGCAGCAAGTGTTGCCTGGCTGCCGGGAAAGCTCAATCCACGTGTAGCCCCTCTAGCAGTCAACAATGCAGTTGCCCGCATCCTTGTACACAGGCCCCCCCCGGTGGTCAGCCAAAATGCATTCTTGCTCGCCTTTTTCTCCACCACACCCATCACGGTGGGACTCGCCACGTGCCCCCCCATGTTTTTTGCAGTGCTTCGGACACGCCCTCGACGAAAGGAAAGCCGACGAAAGGAAAGCCACTTGATGGCGATGAAGAGACGAAGTGCTGACTGTCTGACGGCGAAGTCAGCGTTCGGGAGCACATAACAAAATGCACTCAGGGCATTCACGGCTTTCCGTCATGACAGGTCGCTGAGCGTCAGCATGCAGAAAACAAAGGCAATGCTTCAGCTTTCCTACCAGGATTGATGAACACAGGCTGCCACCCATTACTCAAGAAAACAATATAGACGTACTCCCACAGATGCTGAGGCCTATCAGTTCCCTCATCATTCGTCATGATTAAACTGAACTTTATTGGCAGATCATGAGTGGCAAAATGATGGGTGGCGGCAACTAAACACTAGCGACCACACTGGCCAGCAAACGAAAAAGACAGGTCCATTGCCCTGTGTCATTGGGATAACAACAAACCCCGAAGAACATGTTGCCGGACATGTGGGCGATGATGATCCAGCTTCTCGCGGAAGACCTGGAAGTTTCCTACCATCGTTTCCCCAGAGTTTGAGATTCGGATTGTGTTGGCTCTGGGCCTGTGACGCGACATCCGTCACATTACGGCCAAGATGCAGGCTGCGATCGGAACACATACTCATCTAGAAGCCTAAGCAAAGCAAAAGCTGCCTGATGCCAATCAAAAGTATGGAAGGCTTGCCTAGCCCAAGCCAGGCAAAGCCTTTGGTTTGAGACCAACTGCTTATTCACGCAGCTCCTCATCATGCATTGTGCCACGCGGCCAGCACGTCTACAGGCGGATCCGCACCGGACATCGGACAGTCCTCACACTCTTCCAACTCAAAGTTGTCTCGCTGCTGCTCCCCAGGAGTTTGGCTGCCTCGAATCTAGCTTCCTTGCCATCCTTGTGCCCCTTTCCTCAGCCAAAGAAGGAAAGGAAAACAATGCTACTTTGTTCTGTCTGTTTTTGTTGCTTTGCCCGACCTGGAGCATTTCCGGGCGACGTCGCGACGAAGCCCTTCTCGAGCAGGAACCTGAGCAGCGCATGGCGTCTGAAGATTTACCGCAACCCGTATCCAACAACTCGGCCATGCCGCAAACAGCTAAAAGGAACGGTTTTCGGTTCATGCCGGGGAACGGTTCAATTACCTGGTCCAAAAATCTAGCCGCACCAAATTCCTGGACCCACAGTGTTGACCGGCGACGATGAACCCAGCTGAAATAGAAGCCTCATGATGTGTCTGACAAGCTTGCTACCACACAAACTTGGTCTCACGCCGCAGCCAAAGAAACAAACTGGGTGTGGCAACGGGGGCCATACTGCAAACATGACAAAAGGGATCTTGCGCAAGACGCACCTGGCACAATGATTGGTAGGTGCCTGCAGGATCAAGGATTTTCCACGCATCTCCACGCGATGCATGCACTTGGGCAAGGCATAGGGAGAGGGGGCGGTGCGTGGAAGATCCTTTGCAGCCAGCTATAGCTTCCGGCAAAGATGTCATTGGGAAAAGGTGTCTCAACATTCGACACATGCTACGCCTCTTTAGGCACGCCCAGCGTCTGAGCCTCTGAGCCTCTGAGCCTCCATGCCTCTAAGCCTCTAAACCTCTAAGTCTTCTATAGAGGCTAGAAGCTTAGAAGCTTAGAAGCTTGGAGGCTTGGAGGCTTCGGCGCTTAGAGGCTTGCCAGGAACGGGAGGTGACCATATCTTGCGGGAAGCATGCTGTCTCTCTCTCTCCCTCTCTCTGATCTTCAAACTGCGACAAGTTCGCAGAACAGGCTCCTCAAACTCAGCGCGAGCATTTCATGGTTTGCGTGCTCCGGGTTTCAACTCGCGGGCCCGAAACTGAAATCAGCCCCATCTGTCTGACGCTAACGAGAAGCCCCCGTTCGGATTACTGGCTCAAACATAGGGAATCACGGGTATTGCCCTTCAGGGTGTGGATCAGGGAACCGGCCCTTTCGTCCATGAAACCCATGAAAGACGCTCCCAGGCTTCCCAATGTGCTTGCTGGTCAAGCGCGCCTGTCCTTACATTGCCTTCGGTTCTCATCAGCACGTTGGCCGACCTTCGTTAGCACCCACAGCAAGTGAAACGGAAATGAAACCGGAGAGTCAGTGGCGGGCCTAACCATCTCACGCACTGATTGCAAGTCGCTTTCTGTTCTGTGTCGGCCACAACCGGGTGAACTCTTCAAACTGCTGCACGCGTGAGAGAATTCTCGGATCTCAGCGGATCACCAGGGCAGCCGAGGTGAGTCATTGGTATCTGGGGTCTCGTATGCAGGCAAAGCGGCTTTCCCTTCAATTAAAACTCTGCGGCGGAGCTCAAGGTGTCTGGTTCTGCGGCCACCTTAGCACAGCTTCGGCCATGAGCAAATAAGCGTCATGACACACCGACAGCCACATTGCGTGCCTTGCCCATGATATGGTGAATGCAAGGCTGCTTCAGCCATACCGCCATACCTGATCCTGGCAGGGAAAACATGTCGAACACACGCATCAGTGTTGCCGATCGCTTGACCGGCCTGGTGACACATGGGCACGATGGCAAGTGGCAAGCTGGCCAAGGGAAGAAGCCTGCCTCAGATCACATCCGGCCTGCAAACGTGACACTGCTGTTGACAGATTAGCGCATGGCCATCCAGGCGGTCCAGGAATCGGCGGGCTCCACTTCTGACTGGAACGACTCCGTCAAGCTTTTCCAAACTCTCGAAACAGCTGTTGCCACCAGAGGACTCTCTTTCAGCAATAGCTACGGACAAATCACGGTCAAACACCGGCATAAAAGTAAACACAAAATTGGCAGTATTCGAAGGCTTATGTTGTTTATTTACGGTTCTCGAGTCATGGGCTTAGGCAGCATGCATTTTTGGAACAATCATCCATGCTTTCTGCATTGATTTCAACACGCCTTTCCCCTAAGCCCCGCCGAAACAGATTTACTTCAATTGCACTACCAGACTACCAGAATCTCAACTCTCTCTTCATGCCCTGCCCACACTTCTTCATGCCCTGCCCACACTTTTCGTCTGTTCATGGCACTTGCCCTCGGCACGGCTCCTCGCATTCACTTTCCGGGGTCGGGGAAATGATGAAGTGCTCGCGCAGCTCGTCCGGGATCCAGAATGGGCACTCCTGAAGAGCGGATACACCCAGATTTTCAAAGCTATGGCTGAATCAGTCGAGTTGCCCCTCCTCAGCCACGTAACCAAAGTCAGTCCTCCTGCCCCTCCTGAGATTGGAACAGAAGCAGCGGCTCAGACACATGCAAACCTAGAATCACCTGGTGCGCAGTGCACCTTGCGGGCAGCGCGGGAAAGGATTGCCCTCAAGCGAGTGCACCCAAAGGAAGCGAACACCTACAATCCGATACCTAATCGTGGGACAGCATCTCACTCGCGCGGCCCACGGTCTTCGTCTTCTGCACTTGCTTTTCTGCCAGGAGAAATTCAGGCGTGACTGAACTGACTAGCACGGGCATGCTAGCTGCAAGTGGCAAAGTAGCAGATTCGGCGTGCATGTGTTTGCACTGTTCTCTGCGTGAATTGAAGCAACAAGCTTCGGCCCAGGGAACATCAAATCGATAAACTGACCACTGACAACCTGATATATCATCAAGCAAAATATGTATGAGCTCTCAGCCGCCAAAACCATCGTGACACGCCACTAGACGTCCCAAATTCGGCAGTTCCAGCCTGCAGCTCTTTCCTGCAAGATGAAAGTCATAGCTCCGAGCAGTCACAGCGCTAGAAAGAAATCTAGGCAAAGCGTCAAGCAGGAAGCCCAGTTGAAACTGACAAACGACGCTAAACTGGGCGGGCAAGGGGTACGGTCAACTATCCAAATCATGCGTCAGTCTAAATCTCAATCGTGAGCACCGCTGAACACGACTCCTCGAACAAATCGAACAAGGCACGGGGGTCCTCCTTCTTAGGCTCAAGGAAATCTCTGGCTTCTTTGCGTGTGAGCATCGCTTGCTCCTTCGTCGCATTGCCAAACTGGCAAACAAAATCATAGCAAGCGCGCAAAGCAAGCGCCGCGAGGCCGACACCCAAAGCGCGTGCTTCAAGTTCTTTGGCCTCTTTGGCCCTTGGAAACTTGGCCCTACGGAAGGCGTGCAGGGAAAGCGCGCATTGCTGACACTCGAATTCCCCAAATCCGACTCCCCACGGGCCCACGACTCCCCTCCACAAACTCCAGGGATTCCACCCTAACTCTCCATGCAGAAGTTCAACGCTCCAGGGACTGCTCCCGCACCTTGGGCGCCCTCTTGGCCTAGGCCACTCCCTTTGGCAGCTTTGCCTTCCACATGCGCCACGGCATCGACAACACAAAGAATGGGCATCGACAAAAACCAACAAATTTCAACTGAGCACCGCTACACCCTGAGTGCCACGGCCACATCTGAGGTTCTTCGCAACGCCCGGTCTTTGTGCGAGGCGTGCGGCTAACATCTCAATGCAGTTTGTGCGAGGCGTGCGAGGCGTGATGGCGGACAAGCCAGTCTTCCATACCAGGTGGTTGGATATCGAGCAAACGTGGCCTAGACAATCTACACATACCACAGTGCGTTAGGGAATCCTTCGATAAACACCTGCTCCCATGCCGATGTGATGACATTGACTTGTTCAAGCTGCCTCCCTGGACCTGTTCCACTCTATCCACTTTTACTGAGGAATAATCAGTGCCAAGAACCTGAACTCATCCCGTCGGCCAAACCGAACCCGGAGTTCGTTCAAACACGGAGTTTGTTCAAACAAGAACCGCTGCCTTCTGGAACGGCGCGTCCTCAATGGCCAAGAGCTTCTGGCTTGCCTGGCCACGTTGCACATCGAAGCCCCATGGATAGATTCGAAGAAATCCGAAACGCGCCACATCGCCACATCTTTCCAAAACGTCTCGACAAATGTTCGCACGAGCTGATAATTCCCATGCACAGCACGCAGCCGTCCACAAGCTGCCGCAAGTTCTTGCGCATGTTCGTTTGCTTTCTGATTAAATATCTGAAGATGGCTCTCTTATCTTAATTCAGTTTGTTCCTTACTGTTAGGCATTTGGTCGTGTACAGACAAGCTTTCCGGTATCTCCAAATATTGAGCTCACCCGACTGGCCTCCTGACCCACATGCAAAGGCTCGCATATGGGCGCGAGGGCAGGACACTCAATCAGCGCGCCTGCTTGCCCTTGCTCCGATTCTGAGACCACCCCTTCTTCCTGCGCACCTCGGGCTTTACCTCTGACCGGCGGGCCACAAGCCCAAGGATACCGTACATGGCGCCTTTGGGCTCCGAGCGTGGCAGGTCCTCTTGGCATCCAGCGCCTGCGTTCTTTGCTGCCGGGCCCTGAGCAAAGGGCAGCTGACAGCTCTCCTCTTCCCCACGAAACGAAAGCCCGGTCAAACTCGCCAATCTTTGCCAAGTCACAAAGATGGAGCATACTGCACGGCCTCCTGTGGGCAGTGTGGTTGGCAACTCTGCGATCAGCTTGGCCACCTATATGGCTCCCATGTTCTAAAAAATCACAAGTGGCCGAAAACCAGCCTCAAACTCCTCCTTCAACTTGATGAATGCTGCGTGCGCACCGACCGACGAGTTCTTGTCCTCAGGTGAGTCAGAAAGCTTCGAAGCTCTGAGCAACGTGCTTATGTTTAAACAGCCAAGTCACTGGATGAAGCTGGGCAGCCTGGAGGCCGCATACGACAAACATTCAACATTCTTGAAAATCCCTGGCTCTGCCCGAAAGCCGGCAGGGGGCAACTTTTCTATCCGGCATGGGATATAAAAGAAGAAAGAAAAAAGAAGAAGAAACCAAAAACGGGTCGCAAAGTGCAGCTTCCTTCGGTGCAACTCGGCTCAACATCTGACATCTTTGCCAAAGGCCAAATAACACGTATAGACTGGATAGCGCAAGTCCATGTACATGATGTCGCATATACTGCGGTTCCACAATAGATAAGGGTAGGCTGTCTCAGCAGAATCTCAGAACAGCGCAAAGAACACCTGGCGACGTTGTTGAGGATGTGCTTGTGCGGTGCTCCCTTTTGTTTACGTTCGTTGGAATGCCTGCGCCAGGTTCCCAGGTTGTCTAGCAACACTGCACCAAGCAATTTTCCGAGATCCATAGCATGTCTACCACGCGCGCTCTAGCTAAACCTGAACGTATCTCTGTCTATCTGTCTAGTCTAATCGAATCTAATATGTATATATGTATATAATCTAATCTCTCTAATCTATCTAGTCTATCTAACCTACCAAATCCATCTAGTCTATCTAATCTATCTAATCCATTTACCTCATCTTCCTAATCTATTTAACCATCCTGATCTATCTGATCTGTCTGGTCTACCTGATCTAGCTGATCTATACGGTCTATCTGATTTGTCTGCTATACATGAACTATCTGATCTATCTGATCTATCTGATCTATCTGATGTATCTATCTGTCTATCTTTCTATCTATCGATCTATCTATCTATCCGTCCATCCGTCGATCAAATCTAGCTACATCTATCTATATGTATCTACATCTGCGTCTATAAGTATACCCAGCCTATATCTGAATATCTATCCCTATCTCTATCTGTCTATCTGTCTATCTGCTATCGGTCTATCGGTCCAACTATCTATTTAACCTATCTAATTGTTCAATCCAACTAATCCGTCTAATCTGTCCAAGTGGTCTCATCTATCTGAACTATTTAATCGATCGAATCTACGTATACCTATTTTACCTAATGTATCTAATCGATCTATCTACTGACCTATCTATCTAACTATCTATCCATCTATCCATCCATCTATCCATCTATCCATCTATCCATCTATCCAACTATCCAAAATCCATCCATCCATCTATCCATCTATCCATCTATCCATCCATCCATCTATCCATCTATCCATCTATCCATCCATCCATCTATCCATCCATCCATCTATCCATCTATCCATCTATCCATCTATCCATCTATCCATCTATCCATCTATCCATCCATCCATCTATCCATCCATCCATCTATCCATCTATCCATCTATCCGTCTATCCATCTATCCATCTATCCATCTATCCATCTATCCATCCATCCATCCATCTATCCATCTATCGATCGATCCATATTGCCAACAGCCCCAATGTTTGTTGGAACAACTCAGTCTCGCAGGCAAAATGCACTGGGACCCCAGCCAGCCGGCGATACCTGACTGGCACAGCATATCAAGCAGTTGGAAACGAGCATTTCCAGGCGCCTGCTTGTCAACTCTTCTTTCGTGTCATGAGGCCTTAGCATGACCAACTGGCAGAACCAAATATGATTGAGGCCATATGGTGGACGGTTGCTGACTGGTGCAATCAGGCACTTTGCATAACTTCTCGCAATGGCTCCGTGGGTTAAAAGCAAAAGCGAGTGGAGCGCTGGTGCTGGAATCGGACAATCAATCTAAATCTAGCGTTCCTTCGAGTGTCAAATTTGTTGTGAAATTGCAACCTGTAGATCTTGACATGTACTCTTCAGCTGGGAGGTGCTGCACAGGCAAACGTCAAGCATTATCTCGGGCTTCTGCTGAGCATGCAAGAGCGTTGGCAGGGACATGGCGAAAGGTCCGGCTCTGCCAAGTATCTCGAGCCAGCTTGGGCAACATGAGGCTCGCGCGATGACAGCTCGAAAAATCGCATGCAGGTGATACTGCTGCCTGTGGCACAAGCAGGGCAAATGCCAGCAGTTTCAGAAAGCTGTCTTCTGCTGTCTTACCCACAGGCAGCGTGACAGGAAGTGAAGAGTTAAGAACACTTGAAGGCAAAGAACTTTCGCAGAGGTACGTGCACGAACTTTCGAATGGTATCTACATGAACTGTGGGACAAACCTATATATTTGGGGTAGCCACATGTAGGGATCCATGGCTGCGTGCCGTGGCATTCAGAAATTCAGGTCGAAGCTGCGCCGCTGCGCGAAAAAAATATCCGTGGGACAAGGGATCTTGTGTCTGCAGTTCGACTCCAAGCCTCTCGATCTCTCGCTCAAGCGAAGCAAGCTCCCCGGCTTAGGTGATCTGGAAAGCTTCAAGTCAGTACACTGCCCTTCGCTTGTTCATGGCATGGCTAGCCGTTGGGATCGCACATGGTCGCACGCCAAGGCCATCTGGGGCAAACTAATCCCTGTAAAACACCTAAAACGTAGCGGGGGGGGGGGGGGGGGGGGGGCGGCAATTCCCCCCGGGATGATTGAAAAAGTGATGATTCAATTAAAGGCGGGGGTTCAGGATGATTGAAAAAGTGATGATTCAATTAAAGGCGCCGGGGGGTTGGGGGGGGGCAGCCCCCCCATGATGATCGAAAAAGTGATGATTCAATCAGGGGCAAAAAGTCGGAGGGGATGATGATTGAAAAATTGTGATGATTCAATGGGCCAAACAAATATAGAAAAAGCAGCGGGGGGGGGCATCAGTGCCTCTGCGCCAAGGCCTCATGGTAAAAGTGAGGATTCAAATACGGGCAAACTAATCCCTGTAAAACGGCAACCAAAGAATCTATGAAGCAGCTGTCGCATGATGATCGAACAAGTGATGATTCAATTAGGCGTGTATTTTAATCGAAAGGGTGGCGGGGGGGCACCAGAGAGGAACTTGCGATGCTGAGGATGCAGGAAGCCAAGGCAAAAACCAACTGGGAAAGCAGAGGATGCGAAAAGCCAAAGCCAGAAAGCCGCCAAAAGCCACAAAGCCAAAAAGCCAGCGGAACTGGCAATGCAGAGGATGCGAAAGAGAGGAACTGTGAATGCAGAGGATGCGAAATGAAAAGCCACAAAAGCCACAAAAACCCACGTAAAAGCCACAAAAGCCAAAAAGCCGAAAAGCCACCCACTCTGAAAAACAAAAATAATTCCTAAAAAAAAACGAAAAAACCTAAAAAAAATGGCCCTCCCATGTAAATGGCTGCCGGCATACAACGGCCACGGGATGCACGGAACCACCTGGCCTGCACCTCTCTCCAGGTAAAGGGACTTGACGTGCTGCAAGGCTGACATGTCCACAGGCTTGAGCTATGCGTCATGAGGATGGCAGGCATGGCTACAGCCTTGTTGCCGAACATGCCTCAAAGCTCTACATCAACTACAGCTTATTCAAGGGGCCTTGGCGAGCATACACACAAACACGAACACTAACAAACACCCACCAAAAACAAACAAACAAATTAACCAACACAGTAAGTAAGCGCCTTTGGCGGCCCACTTTCCGACATGATGTAAGTGAGCTGAATCACTTGCCCCAACACCTACGCACTTAGGGTTGCGGTCCTTGCCACTTTGTGCCTGCTGCCACCCACGAATCGCAGAATGTGAGCAGGAATGATCGCCATGATTCCTATGGCCTGTTGATGGGATCGAGGTAGATTGCCGACATGCGCAGGAAGAGAAAGCAGCAGTGGCAACCGTTGTCCGTGCAAACCCCTTCCGAGGCACCATCAGTCCAGCATTCATGCTGCGGGAGATTTCACAAGCCAAAAGGCCGGTGAAACTTGTGCCTCAAAGGACTCTAACGGCCGTCATCCTGACCTGCCTCGTTGAAAGTTCATTCAAAACAACAGTTTGACCGGCACTTCACTCGTGCAAACGAGCGTGCAGCGAACCATGCAGCAAATGTCGGGTCACGCTCGTGGGACCCATCTCCAGGCCGGACTTCAACGAATCGCCAAAGCGCTGACCCAAGCGACACCTTGTTGAGCAAATGCCAGCTTGGATCAGCGAGTTGTCAAGCTGACACCGGCGAAACTGAAACAGTCACCATGAAATGCCCACTTGAGCTGCGCATCCCCAACTTTATCGCCCCGCCCTCCGCCAGAGAACCTCTTCTGACACAAAGCCGCAAAGGAGCTTGGCTTGTGTGAAAGCAAGAATGTACCGTGTAAACTGACTGTGACATACTGTGAACTCGCTGCGTCCTTCCATCATGCGCAGTTTGTCCGCCTCTGATCACCGCAGGAAATCGATTCTACTGGGCAACGCTGTCACGAATTCTAATGCGGGCGTCCTTTAGCCAGCAGCTATGATTCTCTGATGCCATGCTGGCTCTAGCCTTAGCTGGGCCCATCTAAGGCGTCTTGGCTGATCCCCAATTGACCCTATGCGGCCGGCCATGCAGTTCGAACGACAGATGTTCCATTTTTCCACCTGCAGCCCAAACACTGAGCTGAGCTGTCGCAAGGGGAAGGCCACACCAGGCAGCAACATGGCCTCGGATCGTCACATTCAATCAAGCATGTCCTGAAGCGCAGTAAGGTCGAGGCGCTGTGCAGGGGGGGGGGGACACGATTGACGAAAGGTGTGCTTTGCGGCCCATCTCTTGGAACGAATTTCCTTCTGAACTGGGTCACGCTCCACGCCTAAACTAGCTGGCCAAGCATTACGTTGTTTTCTTTCATGCCTGCTGGATGGATGGCCTGGGAGAGAGTGCACTTTGAGCCAAAACTAACTTCAACGTGATGGCTGAAGGCATCTCTGAAGGCAAAGGAGTACAATCGCATGACAACCAACGGCTTGCCTTCCAGCAACTATTGGATTCTGACATGTTGAACGCTGGTCCGCAATTGAGCTGGGCCATTGATGACCTACCAAGTCACACCCAGCACGTGCTGCGGGAGGCTCCCTGACTGAGCTGCTGGAACGAGTGTCTTCATGATTGCACTTAGAACAGTCGCCCTGCAGTTGGTGTGCCAAAGGCGGACGAATGCCGCCAGGTCACCATTTCTGACACACTGAGTTTCAGGTGCAAATCGCAAAACAACAAGGACAGTGAGGATGAGCTTGTTTTTCCAAATGCACATCATTTTCAGCTTCCACCAAACGCACCAGCGGGCACATCAGCATTGCAGCAACCAAACAGCGCGGCACGGGGCTGGATCTCTTTGAGGGCCTTCTTCTTGCCGATGGGCCGCCCGGCAGGCAATCGGGCCGCGGAAGGGATGGACAGAAACAGCCCTAGTTGCAAAATCAACTGATTTCTGATTTGCCGCATTGTGCGTAAGGTGTAAAAACTGTAAGATGGACATAAGTCGCAGTAATCGAAGCTTGGACGCGAAGCTAGGCCTTGTGTCTGGTCTTGTCAGCATTCTTTCCAGAGTTATTTTCCCGGAGCTCTTTCAAGATATTCTCGAAGTCTCCGTGGTCCACAGCTGTGACCAGCATGTTGCCAGCCCTTTTCCTTGCCGCCGCCGCTTCTTTCACGTCCTCTGCAGAATGTGCACCACTGCCCTTCAACGCGCCCTCCAGCTTGCCGTGCTCTGCAGCTTCCACCTTGGCATGGATAATTTCCGGGCCAATCCACATCAACAAAGTCCCTAAGTGCAAACATGACGCAACCTTACCCTCACCGCATTGTGCCCCTTGGCTGTATGTGCGTCGGCTTCCATTGCTTCAGGCTCGTGTTCGCTGGCCGCCAGTAGTTGGCACATCTCTGAGCTGCGCAGGACATTATGCGGGTCAGCGGCCTGAGGATGCTGAGGGTGGCTATTGCAAGGGGCTCAAAGATTCAAGAGTTTGATTGACACGCAACTTGTGCGCTGCTTGCCGGCCAAGCCACTTGCGAATACTTCAAATAAAATCCAGCGTTTCTGCAGGCCGAACACCTCAAACCCTGAGCACATAGCAAGCCAATGAATCCGCAGAGCTCGCAAAGAGCAAATTGAGCAGCTTCATCCTGCTCCCTTCATGCGGGGCAAACAAAACACACCGCTAAACTGCTAAGCCAAAGCGCGACAACTAGCCAGGTCCCTGCTTGAAACACCTGTGCAGCTGCCTCCCGGACAACAAACTCTGACTGCGCCCACCTTGAACTTCAGAGGTGGGTGTGCGTCGCAAAGACGTGCGCGGAAGTGGGGCTCCCCACATGCTGGCAGACATCAACATGAACATCCCGAAGCTGAGCTGAGTCTCGGCACTTGCCCCCTGCCCTGCACACAGACATGTATCAAAATTTATCATCTTGTGAGCGGGTCACGCTGACCCAAATCGCTCCATCAGCAAGCTATTTGCAAAGTTGTTATGCTCCTGGAAATGCCTTCCTCGCTGAATTGCATGAGCTGGCATACGCCCGCTTTGACACTGCAATGACCCCTCCACCAACCATGTGTGATTCTTCAACCGGGAACCATGGCAACTTTTCGGCAGCATGCCTGTCAGTTTCAATATGTGTTCAGTCACTGCACAAAGAGCGAACAGCAACAAGGCAAACCAATGCATGTGAAATGCGCAAGCTGAAGGCATCACATATTGAGATGACCGACCACTCTGCAGTTGCACAAGCATGTGAGCTGATGCGGACCTCGTTCCACGGGAGGTGAAGCGCGAAGAGGAATCCTTGAACTGGTGCACTGGCCCTGGTGCCCTTGTGCAGTACGGTCAGGGGCTTGTGCCGGCCCAGGCGAAGCGAGGGCACAACAAGACAGCAGTTGCTGAGCATCAGGATTCGCTGAATCCAATGGATTCCAACCCTATCCACAGATGATTTCAATGAATCCATGGATAGCAGCATGATTCCAATAATTCCATGGAAGCAGCATGATTCCAATGCTTCTCAACAGGTTTCAGAACAATGCACGCGCTCTGAGCCGCCTGCCATTTTCATCACGGAAAAACATCTGGGGATTCCATTTCATGGCAAAGTCATAGGCTTGACCATTCTTTTCAACCTTGGGTGCAGAACAATGCACGCGCTCTGAGCCGCCTGCCATTTTCATCACGGAAGAACATCTGGGGATTCCATTTCATGGCAAACTCATAGGCTTGACCATTCTTTTCAACCTTGGTTGCAGAACAATGCACTCTGAGCCGCCTGCCAATTTCATCACGGAAAAACATCTGGGAATTCGATTTCATGGCAGAGTCATAGGCTTGACCATTCTTTTCAACCTTGGGTGCAGAACAATGCACGCGCTCTGAGCCGCCTGCCATTTTGATCACGGAAAAACATCTGGGGATTCGATTTCATGGCAAAGTCATAGGCTTGACCATTATTTTCAACCTTGGGTGCAGAACAATGCACGCGCTCTGAGCCGCCTGCCATTTTCATCACTGAAAAACATCTGGGGATTCCATTTCATGGCAAAGTCATAGGCTTGACCATTCTTTTCAACCTTGGGTGCAGAACAATGCACGCAGTCTGAGCCGCCTGCCATTTTCATCACGGAAGAACATCTGGGGATTCGACTTCATGGCAAACTCATAGGCTTGACCATTCTTTTCAACCTTGGTTGCAGAACTGAGCCGCCTGCCATTTTCATCACGGAAACACATCTGGCGATTCGATTTCATGGCAGAGTCATAGGCTTGACCATTCTTTTCAACCTTGGGTGCAGAACAATGCACGCGCTCTGAGCCGCCTGCCATTTTCATCACGGAAAAACATCTGGGGAGTCGATTTCATGGCAAAGTCATAGGCTTGACCATTCTTTTCAACCTTGGTTGCAGAACAATGCACGCGCTCTGAGCCGCCTGCCATTTTCATCACGGAAAAACATCTGGGGATTCGATTTCATGGCAGATTCATAGGCTTGACCATTCTTTTCAATCTTGGGTGCAGAACAATGCACGCGCTCTGAGCCGCCTGCCATTTTCATCACGGAAAAAAAGGAAGTCGATTTCATGGCAAACTCATAGGCTTGACCATTATTTTCAACCTTGGGTGCAGAACAATGCACGCGCTCTGAGCCGCCTGCCAATTTCATCACTGAAAAACGTCTGGGGATTCGATTTCATGGCAAAGTCATAGGCTTGACCATTCTTTTCAACCTTGGTTCCAGAACAATGCACGCGCTCTGAGCCGCCTGCCATTTTCATCACGGAAAAACATCTGGGGATTCGATTTCATGGCAAAGTCATAGGCGACCATTATTTTCAACCTTGGTTGCAGAACAATGCACGCGCTCTGAGCCGCCTGCCATTTTCATCACGGAAAAACATTGGGGATTCGATTTCATGGCAGAGTCATAGGTGGGACCATTCTTTTCAACCTTGGGTGCAGAACAATGCACGCGCTCTGAGCCGCCTGCCATTTTCATCACGGAAAACATCTGGGGATTCGATTTCATGGCAAAGTCATAGGCTTGACCATTCTTTTCAACCTTGGTTGCAGAACAAAGCACGCGCTCTGTGCCGCCTGCCATTTTCATCACGGAAAAACATCTGGGGATCCGATTTCATGGCAAAGTCATAGGCTTGACCATTATTTTCAACCTTGGTTGCAGAACAATGCTCGCGCCCTGAGCCGCCTGCCATTTTCATCACGGAAGAACATCTGGGGAGTCGATTTCATGGCAAACTCATAGGCTTGACCATTCTTTTCAACCTTGGGTGCAGAACAATGCACGCGCTTTTTGATCACGGAAAAACATGTGGGGATTCGATCTCATGGCAAAGTCATAGGCTTGACCATTCTTTTCAACCTTGGGTGCAGAACAATGCACGCGCTCTGAGCCGCCTGCCATTTTCATCACGGAAACACATCTGGGGAGTCGATTTCATGGCAAAGTCACAGGCTTGACCATTCTTTTCAACCTTGGTTGCAGAACAATGCACTCGCTCTGAGCCGCCTGCCATTTTCATCACGGAAAAACATCTGGGGATTCGATTTCATGGCAAACTCATAGGCTTGACCAATATGTTCAGCCTTGGTTGCAGAACAATGCACGCGCTCTGAGCCGCCTGCCATTTTCATCACGGAAGAACATCTGGGGATCCGATTTCATGGCAAAGTCATAGGCTTGACCATTCTTTTCAACCTTGGTTGCAGAACAATGCACGCGCTCTGAGACGCCTGCCATTTTCATCACGGAAGAACATCTGGGGGAGTCGCTTTCATGGCAAAGTCACAGGTTTGACCATTCTTTTCAACCTTGGTTGCAGAACAATGCACGCGCTCTGAGCCGCCTGCCATTTTCATCATGGAAGAACATCTGGGGAGTCGATTTCATGGCAAACTCATAGGCTTGACCATTCTTTTCAACCTTGGTTGCAGAACAATGCACGCGCTCTGAGCCGCCTGCCATTCTCATCACGGAAGAACATCTGGGGATTCGATTTCATGGCAAAGTCATAGGCTTGACCATTCTTTTCAACCTTGGTTCCAGAACAATGCACGCGCTCTGAGCCGCCTGCCATTTTCATCACGGAAAAAACATCTGGGGATTCGATTTCATGGCAAACTCATAGGCTTGACCATTATTTTCAACCTTGGTTGCAAAACAATGCACGCGCTCTGAGCCGCCTGCCATTTTCATCACGGAAAAACATCTGGGGATTCGATTTCATGGCAAAGTCATAGGCTTGACCATTCTTTTCAACCTTGGTTGCAGAACAATGCACGCGCCCTGAGCCGCCTACCATTTTCATCATGGAAGAACATCTGGGGATTCGATTTCATGGCAAAGTCATAGGCTTGACCATTCTTTTCAACCTTGGGGAGAGCGTTTCTGACCCTGATCCGCACACAGCACATGAGAGGCAAAACAACCAATGGCTCATGTTGCTGGGTGTTTTGAATCGGTCTGGGTCCAAGCTGCACTTCCATCGCTCTCAGCTTGCTCCCCAGCTTCACCCTGGGCCGTGCCTGCAGTCAATCCTAGCCGGCGCCCATTGGCTCAGTCGAGCCCGAGACATGCCCGTGTGAATTCAGCGCAAGTGGGACACGCGCATTCAAAGCAGCTGTTGAGGTTGGGCACGCGGTATGCCACAGAGTGAAAGTGGGGAGGGCCATGCAGTCGCAAACTCTCACTGCCAGCTCGAACTGCAGATTTGCGCATCAGCACTCTCAAACTTGCGCCTCATCACTTTCAATTATCTTGATGATGCGGCCTTTCCTCACGCAGAGCAAAAGATGCCTCTAGACAGCAATCTTGAGAAAGGGACCTGAAGCTTGGGTCGCCACACCAGCAAAATCAACCCAAACCCTAGGCTTAGTTCTGAAACACCAAAAGAACTTAAAACCTCCTCAACCGAGGGAAGCACAGGTACAGGCTTCGCAGGCAAACCAGAAGGGCAAAAGATTATGTGCACAACAACATTGGCCGGCTCGGCTCCAAAAAGCCATCACCCTGCGCAGAACCAAGCGTGATAAAGCAAGCACAGTTGCAGCAGCTTGGCGCCAAGCAACTTTATCCAGATAGAAGCTGCATGAATGTTCGCCTGATCACAGCACTTCGAACATGAAGAAGACTGTATACCAAACCAGTCCATGGCCACTCAACGTGCGGTTTGCCCTTCAAGCTATGCGGCGGAAGTCCACGTGTCTTATTCTTCAGCCACCTTAGCACAGCTTCGGCCGTGAGCAAATAAGCGTCATGAACCCCAAATGTTTGGTGTCCCTTTGGTTTCCCTTTATAACAAACCAAAAAATAACAGGTTCTGTTAATAAAGACACACCCAAACAAGGGAAAACACAAGTATGTATGTCACCTTGGGCTAGATGCAACTTGTCTTGAGACTCCTTTGCGCGTGCGGGAGGTTGATTTCGGGAGTCTGCAAAGGCGCTCCAAGGCAAACACCGACCTCCGCATTGCCCAACGAAGATACAATCGCAACTTTCGCAGGTACCAATCCCACAAAGCCCGAGGAAGACATGTCGGGCAAATCCAAGTCCACTCGAGCGCTCCCAGCAAGAATGTCCTTGTCAAGCAGCATAGAATCAAAAGCGTTATGAAAGCTCTTAACCGACAAACAGAAGTACAAGCAACACGCATTGCAAATTTATGGCGCTGACCTGCCACAATGCCTCCAAACCCATGGGTTCTGGATCACACCTGGGCCTCCGCGCGCGTTTTGCGAGGCGAGGAAGAGCTGTGCTTGGCCCAACCGCTCTGAGAAAGAATGTGTGTCATAACGGTACGCTCCGAGCAAGTTCCGCTGTGTGTCCAGTTGAGCAAGTTCCGTGTTCGAACGCAACATCCCATGGCACGTAAAAAGTACGACCTTTCGCAAGCACCGCAGTGCCTGTCAAACAAAAGCAGGATCCAGGCGGACATGCTTACTGAATTGACGAGACCAGCCCAGTATTTTGGGGAAGGCGGGCACCTTTCAGCGATCGAAAGTTGCACAAAACCCAACCGAACTGAACCAACCAACTGCCCCACCCACCCACCCACCCACCCACCCACCCACCCACCCACCCACCCACCCACCCACCCACCCCTTCGCCTACACAATGAAGCATCTTAGTGCTGACGCGGTGCATCAGCTGCGTGGATGGACTTCACGCCCACATCTCTCTCGCGGCCACAGGTATCAAACACCCCTGGGCTGTGAATGCGATAGCTAAAGTCTGCCATGGGCAGCACTTCTTCTGGACCGCCACCCAATTACTTGCCACGTCCACCCCCGATGCTGCTTGGATGATCTTCTCCAGTGGGTGTCCTCCAGGGAGCTGCTCAATATGCTCTTTAAAGCTTCAAACTCATGACACACCAAAGAAACGTGCGCAAATGGTAAGCCGTGTGGAGTGAGTGGCCAAGAGCATTCGTTTTCAGCATGTGCCTTGGACATCCCTCAATCCTCGTCTACGCCGATCGGCATCCAGCCAAAACTGCACCTGGAAGAAGCGGCCGCTTTGCAGTTCTGAAACATGGCATGCTGGAAGGGCAGAATGGGCCCATGGCATGCTGGATGTACTGCAAATGCAGCTGATACCTGCGCTGCCCATGGCCCTCAAATCTGTATGCCCAACCCTGATCGATAGCACTGCTCCAAGCAGACTGCGTCGACATCCGGGATGCCTTGCAAGATCTGCCTACGGCGAGGATCCGCAAGCTGGAAGCGCGAGTACAGATTGCGGGATGCAACCTTCTCGATGCCGAGAAGGAATGACTCCCCAAAACCAAGCATGGTAATTCGCGTGCTTGTGCTGCGTCGCACATCGCCTCCCGATGGACAACTTGAAACATGCCCGTTGTCTGTGCTGGCAAGCTCGACGAGCTCCACGCTCGTGCAACATGCCAACAGATTTGAGAGCCATGGGTAGTGGAAAACCCTAAAGATCCTAAGCCCTAAAAGGCCTAAACCCTAGACCCCCTAAACCCTAAAGCTGAAGGCTGGTCTGGTGAGAAGTAAGGAAACCCTGCTGGTCCAACTGGTGAAATTCGAGATCTTGGCCCATCGGCCGATGTGCGTCCAGCCAGCCTCGCATTTGTATTCAGGGCTTCTCGGCGTACGTCGGCCACTGAGGCGCTTTCACTAGTAGAACCCAACAGTCAAACAACCCTGACAGCCCAACAGCCCAGTAGCCCAACAACCCAGTGGCCCAACAACCCAAGACTTATTCCCAGCAGCAGAAGTGGAACCCAGCAGTCAAACACCACCAAGTCGAACAACCCTGAAAGAGCCCAACAGGTCAGCAAAACAATACCAAAGAACTTTCAGAGTCGCTAAACACTTAGGCACTCACTTTCACTTGAGAACTGGTTGAATTTGCATATTTGATTGGTTTCCATGTCGGTTCGTTTGGTTCAGTGTCGCTTTGATGGGGACCACGGTCTCGAGCAGAAGCTGTGAGGCGCACAAAGACCAGCCAGATGTCCTGGAGCAAATGCGGAACAAGAATTGACCATCATGTCCGAAGCTCGGCATAGTTGGCTATGAGTTTCAAGAGGGAACGGTGGGGATGCATGTCCACCAGCCACTTGTGATATGGTTCCCATTGCCATTGCCAAACCTAAACTGATCCTTAGTTACCGGCCTCCCGCCTTGCAAATGCGATCAAGGAATACCAAAGGTATTGGATGCATCCATGCCATCCTGCTACCTCCGCGGCAGCGCGACAAGGGCCGCGGCTTCGGCGCTTCGGCCGAAAGCTCTGGGGAGTCCTTCTTCGAACCAAATGAAGACATACCGGTGTGCTTGGTTTTTTTGCAGGTACCCTTTTCGGTTGGCGAAGGGAAACCAAAACGAACACCACCATTTTGCGGGCACTCCAGAACAAGACATGCCCATACCCCGAAATGTCGGTTGGAAAACTGTTCTGCTACAAAAACGCATACAAATGCGGGAATCTGACATGGGAACCATGGATTTGGTTCCCAAAACTTCCGCTTGATTCATGGTTCATCGAGGTGGCTTGGGGAGGGCGCTGGGCTGGCCACTCTGCCTCACACATGAATCTAGATGGCATGCTTGGGGCACTCCAGATGTCAGCAGCTCGAAACAAGATCGGGTGACTTGATGGGCACTAGCCTCGGCACCCTCGGCACCCTCGGCACCCTCGGCTCTTGCCTCGGCACTGCGAAGCTTGAAAACGCCACACATACACAAACTTGGCTTGACGGGCACCCGGATGACGCAGAGTACAGGTCTCAGCCAAGGGCTCAGGGTAGGGCGCTGCGGCTAGAAATCTGGCATTTGGGCTGCAAGCCTCGTGTGTGATTGGCGTGTTTGCAATGATTATAGTCTGAGGCCCTTGCTTCCAAAGCAAAGCTAAAAGTGACAGGCGTGGTTTGCTTTGCTATGTCTCTTTTGTGGGGGTACCTTTGTTGGGCTTTAAAGGGACAAACACAAAGCCACAACAAAAGCAACCCCAAAAAGCCGACAGGGCGGCTGCCACGATCGCGGCTGACGAACCGCGCCTGAAAATGGCTTGCTGCCATCAATTGCCATCATCTTCAGAAACAAACCGGCCAAGGGCGTGAGTGGCTCCCTTTGGGGATCGGTCTTCATTCCTGCTTGTCGTTTGAGGGGAAGATGCTACGTCTTTCTTTCTTTCTTTCTTTTTTTTGGGGGGGCCTACAAAGGGAAGCCAAAGGAAGCCATCCATTGTTACTCCCCATTTAAAAGACTTCAAGTCTAGCTTCAAGCCGGCGCTCTGCCTCCCGGCTCTTCCAGAAACCAAAAAGCGCCAAGGAGGGTTGCCACCAACAGGCCTTTGCGATGTGGCTTGATTGAACACCCGACCTGTTGTTACCCCTGGGCGTCCCTTTGAAAGAACCAACAAATTGCCCTCAAAATGCATCACATCCGCATGCACGAGAAGAGTCGTCGCAATGCATGGCTGCTGCAGGGCAAAAAACAAGCATCCCCAAATGAGAGCAGACAAGCTGTTGATTTTCAGTGGGTGCTAGATTGAAGACCCGAAGCCCTAAACATTCCCAACACTGACCATGCTTGCTGATGCTCGCTGAATGCTAGAAAAACTGAGCCCTCAAGCATCCCCAAACGAACAGACAAGCCTTTGATTTCGGTATATTATGCTAGATTGAAGACCCCCAAACCCTAAACATCTCCAAAGGCACCTCTAAAGCCACTGCAGGCAGGGGTCCCGAGGTGGCTTCCTGGCTTTCAAACAAGCAAACCAAAGGGGCCGGGCGGCTTTGTAGCCAATGACCTGAGGAGTCTTGCGAGGTTTGACGTTAGATGACGGCGTTTTGTTTCCGGGATATGGTTTTTCCCCAGCTTTTAGACAGCTTGTCTCCAAAGAGTTCCCCCCAATTTTCACAACGTGAATTCGGAGGATTGACGCAGCCTTTCCGTGTACGTCCATCTTGGAATGAGGAGCAGTGGTCCATGGAGTGTCATGCCCTTCCAGCCTTGCAGCTCACCCCGCCAGGACGCAAGAGATCCAGGTCCATTAGTTCCGTTGAGTGTCTTCAGTGCTGGTATACCCTCAAGTTGGTCTCCCTCCCTCTTTCCCTCTCCAAATGCACCGGAAACAAGTGGTAAACCCGGGCCCTGGTTTTCCGTGAAAGGAAAAGTTTCACTGGCTCGGAGCCCGGCCTCTGGCGCCCAGGCGGGGGTCTGAGACACGAGTCCCGAATGCTAATTGAAGTCTTGAATCCAAGCAAATGACCTTCGAAGCGTATAAGAATAAGTTACATATAGACGTAAACATGTGTATATAATATATATATATATGTGTGTGTATGAATGTACCTACGTGTATTATAAATGCATGTTTGATGCGATGTGCAGTATGCAAATCACAAAACTCAGTACACTTGCAGCACCTGCAAGTCGGCTTGAGCCTGAGAAAGATTCTCGGTGGTGCCGGTCTTGATGCGCGTCAGTTCCTGCGAAGGGAGCTGCTCGAGCTATGGCGTCGACCTGGCCTCCTTTGCCTTTTGCAGCTCACTGCCCTCACGCGCGCATAGCTTACTCTGAATTAACAAACATGGTGACTGGTCACTTTTTTGGGGGGCCCTCCTTAAATGGCACAAAGTGTCAACAGAACAGGCCCATGTTCATGTTTGACAATGCGTCAGTTGCTGAGCCTGCAACACTGCAATACCTTGACCTTGTCTTTGGCATGACGCTTCGCCCATCGGGGACTTCAGCACAGCTTCCGACACATCCCGCCTTGGCGTCATTGAGAAGATGTGCACATGTCTCGCAAAGACTTGCTTGGGCAACAATCACATTTCTGCCAGTGTACTAGCTCAGCTCCGAAGACAAACATACTGGCTCAGGCTAATGCTTAGGGCGGCTCTTTACGCCAGCATTCTCTTTACTCCGGCATCCACCGAAAATCATGAGAGCTCAACTTTGCTCAGTTTTGCCCTAGAATTCACAGAGCCAAAACCGCAAGCCTGGTCACCTTTGGAATATTTGGGGGTTTGGGGGCCTTTCATCTAGCATCCAAGCAAGCGTTCATACGATCCATTCATAGCTCGTGTCTTTTGGGTGCCCTTGCTTTTGGAGGCACCCGACAAGAACTACTTGCCACCCTTGTGAGGCCTGGCCTGAGTACGTTGCGGGTGGCAGTTCACAATTTGTGGCTCAAGGCACATGTGGGTGACTGGCAGAAACTTGCTTGTGGGGTAGGGGCCAATAAGCATTGTCCCTCCAGCAGGATTTTTAGGATTTTGGTCGTACGTCTATAAATTTCTCACACGCTTAAACAGTAACACTTCAGTTGTTCCTCAGCATAAGGCCTTGGCATCAAATTGCGCAATCTGTGCAGTCAAGCCATGCCGCAAGCTCTCCTGGGCATCTGGCTCGGCATGGATTTCATTCGTTCCCCCATCCTGCGAAATGTCACAGAGGGTTTCTGCGTCGGTCACCGAAGTCGTGAAACTCAGTGAAGCACCGTCACGGTGATTGAGAGCCTGGCAAAGCATTCGACAACATGCGTATGTATACGCACATGCTGCACAAATGCATCATACAAATCACACCAGCACAACCCCCCAAACAGCCAAAGCCATGTCGAAGATGAGGAGTCACGAAGAACCCCCAGCCCCACAGCACGGCAACCAGCACCTGCAACAGCACCCACAGCAACAGCAGTGACCACCAAGGCCCCAAGCCCATGTTAAGGAGTCAAAAGATCCAGATGGGACTGTGCAAGAGCCTGAATCTAGCAACGCAAAGCAAGCCAGCTTCCACCTGGCTACACTAGTCAGCACTTGCTCTCAGGCACAACAAAAAATCTTTGCTCAAAGATTTGCGCCAAATCCGTGTTCCGCATGTTCCAAGTTGCCGCGCGCCCTGAATAGCTGTGAGCTCCTGGCCTGCGACTCATGGCTTGCGTCTCACGCCCTCACCCGTCTGACGCGCGCGCCCGGGACCTGGGAGGGCGCCTCCATCTCGCGCATCGCTCGTGTGTGACTGGCGTGCGCTTCGAAGGCGTGCCAATATGTCAATTCGCCAAAGCCACATGCAAAGTCAATGAGAAAGCCCAGGAGACCCAACTTTGGAAGCCCCAGATTCTTGGCCCAATCACAAGCTCCCTTCCAAGACAACCGCGGGCCTTCTCCTCTTGAAAGTCCGTGCGCTGGCGCAGCTGCCTCGACCGTGCTGCAGCCGCGGAAAATGCCAGAAACAAAAAGGGTATCCTAGAAGCGCCTGGGGGTGCGCAGTTTTCGGAACCCAAAACTAAGCCTCCACTTGCTGCGCGCCCATGCTCGCTGCAATCAACGCAGCGCTCACTAGGCCTGGGCTTGTTTTCCGCTGCAATAACATCGTCCAACCGCACCTTCTGCTTGCTCGCTTTCGGAAATTTGTCCATACCGACCAAGCAGCTGGATACATTGGCATGGTGTGCAATAGGCCTGTGGACTGTGGGCTCATAAGGGGTGCTTATTGCAGAGTGTTGAGGTGTTGAGTTTAGGGTTGAGGGTGAGGGTTGAGGGTTTAGGGCTTAGGGCTTAGGGTTTAGGGGTTTTCGGGGCTTCGGGCTCCACCACGCACTCGGCGCCTTTGCTGGCAGGCCGCCGCAGCCTCGTTCAGGGAGTCTAGAAGTCAAGAGCACGGGCCTGAGCGAGCATGACGCGCTCCTCAAAGACATATTTGTTTCGCGCACTCAATACATCCTGCTGGCAGTTGTGGGGAGGGTTTCCATTCCTCGGCCTCAGGCGTCTCTGCCTCGATCTTTGCACTGAGGCTGCGCTGCACCTCTCCGAAAATATGCCATGGAAACTCCCCTTGCAACGGGTCAATTTCCCTTGAAGCCACCCTAGTTTCAACCCTCCAAAGGTTTGGAAGGAACCTGCTGACCAAAGGATGCTCAAACATCTGAGGGACGGGCCCGATTGTCTCAGAAGAATTTTGGGCAACAGCTTCCTGACTTCGGGTCCAAGCGCGCATTTAGAAGGCGAAACATCAACAGCTTAAAACAAATTCCCCGAGCTGTCAGCCGTCGGCCTCCATTAGCGCAAAGGCCTCCTGCATCTCAGCCACCAAAGCGGCGCGGGAGAGGAGTTGCGCGGGGCGATTCACGGCGCCCACAAAATTCGGGTGGGACCTTAGCGGCCGTGAAGACAAAGGTTCAAAACGGGGCCCCCAGAATGGGCGCTTTGCTCATCGGCTTTCGCGGCAACCCATCGCAACATCTGTGACACAACAAGTACATAATATTCAATATGACAACACGTCGGATACGCACGCGTTATACAAGCGCGGCGTAATCGAGACATTGTGCTTGCGTGCTTGTGTGGGTTGGTGGTTGGTTGCTTGCTTGCTAGCTGCCTTGCTGCGCTGCCTGCTTACTGCCTTGCTTGCTTGCTTGTTTGGGTGGGTGGGTGGGTGGGTGGTTGGGTGGATGGTTGGTCGGTTGCGTGCTAGCTGGGTTGATTGGTTGCTTCGTTGGGGGCTGGGCTTCGCAGTATCCCGATGCGAAGCCCGTCGGGCAAATAGTGAAGCTGTCGGGTGCTCAAGTCTCTGAGTTGTCCCAACTAACGGCCATTGCGTGGAATGGCAGGTTCAGAGCAGTGCTGAGGTGTGATTCCGACTGTTTAAGACTTGAGAGTTTGTTATGATTGTGCCGTGACATGTAGTATGGCGCCGCGCGCTGTATGCCCGGCGTCTCCCAAACACATCGGCGACGGGGCTTCTGTGGCAAGACCACGAAGATGTCCATGCCAGCATCGATTTGTCTCCAAATGAGGGAACCCACAAACGGGCAGCCCTTCCAAACCACAAAAAGAGTCCTCACAAAAGAACACAGCGGTGCCAAAACCAAAGCCACATGTAACAAGCAAGACTGCAAGCAAGGCAGCAAGCAAGCAGCGCAGCAAGGCAGCTAGCAAGCAAGCAACCAACCACCCACCCACCCAAACAAGCACGCAAGGCAGCAAGCAAGAAGGGCAGCAAGGCAGCAAGGCAGCAAGCAAGCAAGCAAGCAAGCAAGCAAGCAAGCAAGCAAGCAAGCAAGCAAGCAAGCAAGCAAGCAAGCAAGCAAGCAAGCAAGCAAGCAAGCAAGCAAGCAAGCAAGCAAGCAAGCAAGCAAGCAAGCAAGCAAGCAAGCAAGCAAGCAAGCAACCAACCAACCAACCAACCAACAACCAACCAACCGACCGACCGACCGACCGACCAACCAACCAACCAACCAACCAACCAGGCAACCAAGCAGTTGGCGTAATGTGCCGGCAAGACCCGCACATCTGGCTCGCCATCCCTGCACGCACACGCCATTGTCATAGCACTGGGCCCAAGGCAGCGCCATGATAATCACCTGTTCACGCGCACGCACAGTCATGGCACTGCACACGTAACACACGTCATTGCCACCATGATAAGCAAATCCGTTCAGGCGCACGCGACATAGTCATAGCACTGGGTGCAAGGCAACCGTTCCGCGCACACGTCATTGTCATAGCACTGCACACGTGGAGGAGCGGCGACAAGTCATTGCCACCATAATAAGCAAACCCGTCAGGCGCTACACGTCATAGTCATAGCACTGGGCGCAAGGCGACCGTTCACGCGCACACGTCATTGTCATAGAACTGCACACGTGAAGGAGCGACGACAAACACACCCCTTCACAAGCACACGTCATTGCCACCATAATAAGCAAACCCGTTCAGGCGCACACGTCATAGTCATAGCTCTGGGCACCAGGAAGGTGGCACCACGATAAGCACACCAGCTCACGCGAACACAGTATAGTCATAGCGCTGGGCAAAGGCGGCGCCATGACAAGCACACCACACCCCTTCACGCGCACACGTCATTGTCATAGCACAGGGCACAGGAACGCACCATGATAAGCGAGCCCGTTCACGCTATTGGCATACCACTGGGCACGAGGCGGCGCAATGATAAGCAAAGCCATTCACCCGACCACGTCATAGTCATAGCGACGCCATGATAAGCACGCCCAACGCGCGCCCCTCATAGTCATAGCACAAACTAGTCACAAAACGGCGCCATGCTAAGCACACCCGTTCACACGCGCACGTCATACTCACGCACACCCGTTCACGAACACGCGTCATAGCTAAAGCACTGGGCAAAAGGCGTCGCCACGATTGTTACGCGCACACGTCATGGTCATCGAACTTGGCACAAGGCGGTGCCATGATACGTACACCTGCTCACGCGCATGCGTCAGTCACAGTCTTAGCATAAGGCGGCATGAAAAGCACACCGGTTCACGCGCACACTGGGCACAAGGTGGCGCCAAAATAAGCACACCCGTTCACGCGCACACGTCAGGGTCATGGCACTGGGCACAAGGCGGCGCCATGCTAAGAACCCGTGCACGCGCACACAAAGTCATAGCACTGGGCACAAGGCGGCGCCATGATAAGCACACCCGCAAACGTCATAGTCATAGCACTGGGCAAAAGGAGGCGGCATGATAAGCACACCCGTTCACGCGCACACGTCAGGGTCATGGCACTGGGCACAAGGCGGCGCCATGCTAAGCACCCGTGCACGCGCACACATCATAGTCATAGCACTGGGCACAAGGCGGCGCCATGATAAGCACGCCCGTTCACTCTCACGCGTCATAGTCATAAAACTGGGCACAAGGCCGCGCCATGAGAAGCACACCTGTTCATGCGCGCACGTTGTAGTCATAGCACTGGTCATAGTGATGGCACTGCACACCTGGCAAAACGTCCTAGTCATAGCACTAGGCACAAGGCGGCGCCATAATAACCACACCGGTTTAATACTTACGCATTTCAGAGTCATTGCACTACAAGCGCGTCACAGTGACAGCACTGGGAACAGGTGGTACCATGATAAGCAAACCAGCTCACGCGAACACGTCATAGTCATAGCGCTGGGCAAAGGCGGCGCCATGATAAGCACACCCGTTCGCGAATACACGTCATCGCCATAGCACTGCACACATGGAAAAGCAATCATAAGCACGCCCGTTCACGCGCACACGTCATTGTGATAGCACTGAACCCGTTCATGCGCATACGTCATAGTGATAGAACTGGGCAAAAGGCGGCACAATGATAAACACACCCGTTCACGCGCACACGTCATACTCATAGCACTGAGCACAAGGCGACGCTGTGATACGCACAACCGTTCGCGCGCGCGCGTGACAGTCATAGCACTGCACACATGGAGGAACGACTGTGCACGGGTCATAATCATAGCACTGGGCACAAGGCAGCGCCTTGATAAGCACACCTGCTCTTCATAGTTGTTGCTTTGGGCTGTAGCGGTGAAACGACAAGCACACCTGCGCACGCGCACACGTCTTAGTCATAGCACTGGGCGCAACCCGTTCACGTCATAGTCACAGCACTACACACACGGAGGAACGCGCACACGTCATAGTCATAGCACTGGGCATCATGATAAGCACACCGTTTTTTTTTTGCACACCTGTTCACGCGCACACATCATAGTCTACGCACTGGGCACAAGGCGGCGCCATGACAAGGACACCCGTTCACACGCACATGTCATAGTCAGGCAGTCCACACATGGCGAAACAATGATAGGCAAGCCCGTTCACGCGCTATTGCTACGCAAACACGTCATAGTCATAGCGCTGGGTACAAGGCGGCGCCGTGATAAGCACACCCGTTCACGCGCGCACATCATAGTCATAGCACTGCACACATGGAGGGGCGATGATAAGCACACCCATTCACGCGCACACATCATAGTCATAGCGGCGCCATGGTAAGCACAAGCACTGCACACATGGTAAAAGGATGATACCCACACCCATTCACCCGCAAAAATCATAGTCATAGTCATAGCACTGGGTAATTACCAGGCGCCGTCAGGATAAGCACGCCAGTTCACGCGCACACGTCATAGTCATAGCACTGGGCACAAGGCGACGCCATGATACCCACACCCATTCACGCGCACAGGTCATAGAAATAACACTGGGCACATGAAGGAACGATAGCAAGCACACCCGTCCACGCGCACACGCCAGAGTCATAGCACTGGGGACAAGGCGGCGCCATGATATGCGTTGACGTGCACACGTCATAGTCATAGCACTGGGCACAAGGCGACGCCATGATACCCACACCCATTCACGCGCACAGGTCATAGAAATAACACTGGGCACATGAAGGAACGATAGCAAGCACGCCAGTTCACGCGCACACGCCAGAGTCATAGCACTGGGGACAAGGCGGCGCCATGATATGCGTTGACGTGCACACGTCATGGTCATCGCACTGAGCACAAGACGGCGCCCTGATAAGCACGCTCGTTCACACGCACACGCACACGTCACAGTCATGGCGCTGGGCACGATAAGCACGCCCGTTCAGGCGCACACGTCATAGTCACAGCACTGCACTGACGGCGCAACGATCATAAGCACACACCTCATACTCATAGCACTCGGCACAAGGTGGTGCCATGATAAGCACACACCCTCACGCGTACGCGTCGTAGCCGCAGCACTGGGCACATTGCGCCGCCATGCTAAGCACACCCGTTCATGCTCGCACATCAAAGTCATAGCACTGGGAACAAGGCGGCGCCATGATAACCATCGCACGCACGCCACAGTCAAGCACGACGAGCACGTCATAGTCATAACACTGGGCACAAGGCGGCGCCATGATAAGCACACCCGTTTACACGAACACGTCATAGTCATAGCACTGGGCACACATGATAACCACACCCGTTCACGCTCACACGAAATAGTCATAGCACTGGGCACAAGGCGGCGCCGTGCTACGCACAGCCGTTCACACGCGCATACATCGTACTCATAGCACTGAGCACAACCTGTTCTCGCCCACACGTCATACTCATAGCACTGAGCACAATGCGACGCCGTGATAAGCACACCCGTTCATGCGCACACTCTATCCCAGACACTCCAATGTTGGTGCTATTTGCCAACATTCGCGAACGTTGGCCTGAGAAGGAACATTGGCGTTTATAAGGCCAATGTTGCTCTGAGAGGCATACATCCAAAATGTTGGTTCGACAAATGCACGTTCGATAATTATCCTGCGATTAAATCACGCCAAATCACGCCAAATCACGGTATTACATGAATGTACCCGAAATTTGGCATACATTTGGCCCAAATGTATGCCAAAAATGGCATACATTCAGTCCGACAATCACGCCAAATCACGCCCAATCACGCCCAATCATGCCCAATCACGGCATCCGACAAATCATAGATTCCGATAAGCCCAATGTTGCCAAATTATGCCTACATCCGAATGTTGCTCTGAGAGGCTACATTTGAATGTTAGTAAATATGACCAACATGGAGTGTGTGGGTATAGTCATACCACTGAGGACAAGGCGGAGCAACGATAAGCACACCCGTTCACGCACACACATCATAGTCATAGCCCTGCACACGGCGCGCAACCATGAGAAGCACACCCGTTCACGCGCACACGTCATAGTCATAGCACTGGGCGCAAGACGGCGCCATGACGGCACTACGATAAGCACACCCGTGCACGCGCACACGTCATAGTCATAGCACTGGGCGCAAGACGGCGCCATGACGGCACTACGATAAGCACACCCGTGCACGCGCACACGTCATAGTCATAGCTCTGGGCACAAGCCTGCGGTTGATAAGCACACCCGTTCACGCACACACATAATAGTCATAACACCGAAACACTAAAAGAAGTTAATAATGAAGCTAGGCGAGGCGCCGGGATTAATAGCTGGTATTTCATGGACAGCAGAATTAAATAGAAAACGATGCAAAAAGACAGTGCCTTGAGAGCTAACCCTCTTTCCCATCTGTTGCTCATGAATTATCTCTCCATTGCATATCATTCCTTGTCTCGCGGCTTTTAGCCACATATTTATTTCTTATCTTTTGGATTTTAATTGTAAACATAATAACAAAGCCGCGAAGGAATGGAAAAGATGGAATGCCAACCTTCATTCGTTCGGATCCTTTGGTCACCTCGCTATCTCCTAGAGACAGAGATGTGCCGGGCTTCTTCATAAGGTCCTTCTCCTTACTATTGATTGCCCGGCCCATTCCTATCTCTTGACTTTATCTGTATACCCATCGTCATCTCTAGACCAGACGTGTAGCGGATGGGAATAGAGGTGAAGAGAGGGGCCGTTCCTTTCCCTGTCCCTTGTCTCCATATCCCTTCTCGCCATGCCACCGCCTCGTTTCCTCGTCTACACGCTGTGGCGGGACAAGCCAATTGACGACAGGAAATGGTGAGTGAACGGCCAGCCCATCTCTTTTCCCATCTTCTTCCTCCCTTCCCTTGGTCATCG